AGCCATCGTTGAGGCTTCAACAGCAGTTGTTTGCTCTGTCATTGTTGTGATATCAGCAGTTGACACATCCACTGAAGGAGTTGTTCCCTCAGCTGTAGTAGTATCTGCACCTGTTGTTGTGACTGCAACTGTACTGGCATCAGCAATCGATGTCTGTTCAGCTGCGGTTGTCACATCTGCAGCAGTTGTATCCACTGAAGGAGAGGTTGTCGACGCAGCTGTAGTGGTATATGCTGACACTGTTGTGGCTACAACGGTAGGTGTCTGTGCTCCTGTTGTAACTGCATCCTCAACAGTCGTATCAACCGCAGGACTGGTTGTTACCTCACCTATAGTGGTATCTACAGCCATCGTTGAGGCTGCAACAGTAGTTGTTTGCTCTGTCATTGTTGTGATATCAGCAGTTGTCACATCCACTGAAGGAGTTGTTCCCTCAGCTGTAGTAATTACTGCACCTGCTGTTGTGACTGCAACTGTACTGGCATCAGCAATAGATGTCTGTTCTGCTGCAGTTGTCACATCTGTAGCAGTTGTGTCCACTGAAGGAGAGGTTGTCGACGCAGCTGTAGTGGTATCTGCTGACACTGTTGTGGCTACAACAGTAGGTGTCTGTGCTCCTGTTGTAACCGCATCCTCAACAGTCGTATCAACCAAAGGACTGGTTGTTACCTCACCTACAGTGGTATCTACAGCCATCGTTGTGGCTTCAACAGTAGTTGTTTGCTCTGTCATTGTTGTGATATCAGCAGTTGTCACATCCACTGAAGGAGTCGTTCCCTCAGCTGTAGTAGTATCTGCACCTGCTGTTGTGACTGCAACTGTACTGGCATCAGCAATAGATGTCTGTTCTGCTGCGGTTGTCACATCTGTAGCAGTTGTGTCCACTGAAGGAGAGGTTGTCGACGCAGCTGAAGTGGTATCTCCTGACACTGTTGTGGCTACAACAGTAGATGTCTGTGCTCCTGTTGTAACTGCATCCTCAACAGTCGTATCAACCACAGGACTGGTTGTTACCTCACCTATAGTGGTATATACAGCCATCGTTGTGGCTTCAACAGTAGTTGTTTGCTCTGTCATTGTTGTGGTATCAGCAGTTGTCACATCCACTGAAGGAGTTGTTCCCTCAGCTGTAGTAATAACTGCACCTGCTGTTGTGACTGCAACTGTACTGGCATCAGCAATAGATGTCTGTTCTGCTGCAGTTGTCACATCTGTAGCAGTTGTCTCCACTGAAGGAGAGGTTGTCGACGCAGCTGTAGTGGTATCTGCTGACACTGTTGTGGCTACAACAGTAGGTGTCTGAGCTCCTGTTGTAACTGCATCCTCAACAGTCGTATCAACCGCAGGACTGGTTGTTACCTCACCTATAGTGGTATCTACAGCCATCGTTGTGGCTTCAACAGTAGTTGTTTGCTCTGTCATTGTTGTGATATCAGCAGTTGTCACATCCACTGAAGGAGTTGTTCCCTCAGCTGTAGCAGTATCTGCACCTGCTGTTGTGACTGCAACTGTACTGGCATCAGCAATCGATGTCTGTTCAGCTGCGGTTGTCACATCGGTAGAAGTTGTGTCCACTGAAGGAGAGGTTGTCGACGCAGCTGTAGTAGTATCTGCTGACACTGTTGTGGCTAGAACAGTAGATATCTGTGCTCCTGTTGTAACTGCAACCTCAACAGTCGTATCAACCAAAGGACTGGTTGTTACCTCACCTATAGTGGTATCTACAGCAATCGTTGTGGCTTCAACAGTAGTTGTTTGCTCTGTCATTGTTGTGATATCAGCAGTTGTCACATCCACTGAAGGAGTTGTTCCCTCAGCTGTAGTAGTATCTGCACCTGCTGTTGTGACTGCAACTGTACTGGAATAAGCAATAGATGTCTGTTCTGCTGCGGTTGTCACATCTGTAGCAGTTGTGTCCACTGAAGGAGAGGTTGTCGACGCAGCTGTAGTGGTATCTGCTGACACTGTTGTGGCTACAACAGTAGGTGTCTGTGTTCCTGTTGTAACTTCATCCTCAACAGTCGTATCAACCGCAGGACTGGTTGTTACCTCACCTATAGTGGTATCTACAGCCATCGTTGTGGCTTCAACAGTAGTTGTTTGCTCTGTCATTGTTGTGATATCAGCAGTTGTCACATCCACTGAAGGAGTCGTTCCCTCAGCTGTAGTAGTATCTGCACCTGCTGTTGTGACTGCAACTGTACTGGCATCAGCAATAGATGTCTGTTCTGCTGCGGTTGTCACATCTGTAGCAGTTGTGTCCACTGAAGGAGAGGCTGTCGACGCAGCTGTAGTGGTACCTGCTGACACTGTTGTGGCTACAACAGTAGATGTCTGTGCTCCGGTTGTAACCGCATCCTCAACAGTCGTATCAACCACAGGACTGGTTGTTACCTCAGCTATAGTGGTATCTACAGCCATCGTTGTCGCTTCAACAGTAGTTGTTTGCTCTGTCATTGTTGTGATATCAGCAGTTGTCACATCCACTGAAGGAGTCATTCCCTCATCTGTAGTAGTATCTGCACCTGCTGTTGTGACTGCAACTGTACTGGCATCAGCAATAGATGTCTGTTCTGCTGCGGTTGTCACATCTGTAGCAGTTGTGTCCACTGAAGGAGAGGTTGTCGACGCAGCTGAAGTGGTATCTCCTGACACTGTTGTGGCTACAACAGTAGATGTCTGTGCTCCTGTTGTAACCGCATCCTCAACAGTCGTATCAACCACAGAACTGGTTGTTACCTCAGCTTTAGTGGTATCTACAGCCATCGTCGTCGCTTCAACAGTAGTTGTTTGCTCTGTCATTGTTGTGATATCAGCAGTTGTCACATCCACTGAAGGAGTTGTTCCCTCAGCTGTAGTAGTATCTGAACCAGCTGTTGTGACTGCAACTGTACTGGCATCAGCAATAGATGTCTGTTCTGCTGCTGTTGTCACATCTGTAGCAGTTGTGTCCACTGAAGGAGAGGTTGTCAACGCAGCTGAAGTGGTATCTCCTGACACTGTTGTGGCTACAGCAGTAGATGTCTGTGCTCCTGTTGTAACCGCATCCTCAACAGTCGTATCAACCACAGAACTGGTTGTTACCTCATCTTTAGTGGTATCTACAGCAATCGTTGTCGCTTCAACAGTAGTTGTTTGCTCTGTCATTGTTGTGGTATCAGCAGTTGTCACATCCACTGAAGGAGTTGTTCCCTCAGCTGTAGTAGTATCTGCACCTACTGTTGTGACTGCAACTGTACTGGCATCAGCAATAGATGTCTGTTCGGCTGCAGTTGTCACATCTGTAGCAGTTGTCTCCACTGAAGGAGAGGTTGTCACCGCAGCTGTAGTGCTATCTGCTGACACTGTTGTGGCTACAACAGTAGATGTCTGTGCTCCTGTTGTAACCACATCCTCAACAGTCGTATCAACCACAGGACTGGTTGTTACCTCAGCTATAGTTGTATCAACAGTCATAGTTGTGGCTTCAACAGTAGTTGTTTGCTCTGTCATTGTTGTGATACCAGCAGTTGTCACATCCACTGAAGGAGTTGTTCCCTCAGCTGTAGTAGTATCTGCACCAGCTGTTGTGACTGCAACTGTACTGGCATCAGCAATAGATGTCTGTTCTGCTGCGGTTGTCACATCTGTAGCAGTTGTGTCCACTGAAGGAGAGGTTGTCGATGCAGCTGTAGTGGTATCTGCTGACACTGTTGTGGCTAGAACAGTAGATGACTGTGCTCCGGTTGTAACCGCATCCTCAACAGTCGTATCAACCACAGGACTGGTTGTTACCTCATCTTTAGTGGTATCTACAGCAATCGTTGTCGCTTCAACAGTAGTTGTTTGCTCTGTCATTGTTGTGGTATCAGCAGTTGTCACATCCACTGAAGGAGTTGTTCCCTCAGCTGTAGTAGTATCTGCACCTGCTGTTGTGACTGCAACTGTACTGGCATCAGCAATAGATGTCTGTTCTGCTGCGGTTGTCACATCTGCAGTAGTTGTGTCCACGGAAGGAGAGGTTGTCGACGCAGCTGTAGTGGTATCTGCTGACACTGTTGAGGCTACAACAGTAGATGTCTGTGCTCCGGTTGTAACCGCATCCTCAACAGTCGTATCAACCACAGGACTGGTTGTTACCTCAGCTATAGTGGTATCAACAGCCATAGTTGTGGCTTCAACAGTAGTTGTTTGCTCTGTCATTGTTGTGATACCAGCAGTTGTCACATCCACTGAAGGAGTTGTTCCCTCAGCTGTAGTAGTATCTGCACCTGCTGTTGTGACTGCAACTGTACTGGCATCAGCAATAGATGTCTGTTCTGCTGCGGTTGTCACATCTGTAGCAGTTGTGTCCACTGAAGCAGAGGTTGTCGCCGCAGCTGTAGTGGTATCTGCTGACATTGTTGTGGCTACAACAGTAGATGTCTGTGCTCCTGTTGTAACCACATCCTCAACAGTCGTATCAACTACAGGACTGGTTGTTACCTCAGCTATAGTGGTATCTACAGCCATCGTTGTGGCTTCAACAGTAGTTGATTGCTCTGTCATTGTTGTGATATCAGCAGTTGACACATCCACTGAAAGAGTAGTTCCCTCAGCTGTAGTAGTATCTGCACCTGCTGTTGTGACTGCAACTGTACTGGCATCAGCAATAGATGTCTGTTCGGCTGCGGTTGTCACATCTTTAGCAGTTGTGTCCACTGAAGGAGAGGTTGTCGCCGCAGCTGTAGTGCTTTCTGCTGACACTGTTGTGGCTACAACAGTAGATGTCTGTGCTCCTGTTGTAATCGCATCCTCAAAAGTCGTATCAACCACAGGACTGGTTGTTACCTCAGCTATAGTGGTATCTACAGCCATCGTTGTGGCTTCAACAGTAGTTGTTTGCTCTGTCATGGTTGTGATATCAGCAGTTGTCACATCCACTGAAGGAGTTGTTCCCTCAGCTGTAGTAGTATCTGCACCTGCTGTTGTGACTGCAACTGTACTGGCATCAGCAATAGATGTCTGTTCTGCTGCGGTTGTCACATCTGTAGCAGTTGTGTCCACAGAAGGAGAGGTTGTCACCGCAGGTGTAGTGGTATCAGCTGACACTGTTGTGGCTACAACAGTGGATGTCTGTGCTCTTGTCGTAACCACATCCTCAACAGTCGTATCCACCACAGGACTGGTTGTTACCTCGGCTATAGTGGTATCTAGGGCCATCGTTGTGGGTTCAACAGTAGTTGTTTGCTCTGTCATGGTTGTGATATCAGCAGTTGTCACATCCACTGAAGGAGTTGTTCCCTCAGCTGAAGTAGTATCTGCACCTAAAGTTGCGACACCAACTGTAGTGGCATCAGCAATAGATGTCTGTTCTGCTGTGGTTGTCACATCTGTAGCAGTTGTGTCCACTGAAGGAGAGGTTGTCGCCGCAGCTGCAGTGGTATCTGCAGCCATTGTTGTGGCTACAACTGTAGAAGCTGCTTCAACAGTAGTTGTGTGTTCTGCTGTTGTTGTGATATCAGCAGTTGTCATACCGACTGAAGCGGTTGTTCCCTCAGCTGTAGTATATACACCTGCTGTACTGGTAAGGGGTCCTGTCGTAGAAGAAGCTTCAGCAGTGGTTGTTTGTGCTGCTCTGGTCGTCACATCTGTAGTGGCTGTATCCACAACAGGACTAGTTCTTACATCAGCCGTGGTGGTATTTGTACCTGTTGTAGTACAAAAAACACTTATTAGATAATTGTATCCTTAATTTGGCAGGGTTCGACCTTAGCAGTAGTCTGATAGCCAAATGTGAGTAAAAACAGCGGGCTATTCGGAACCATTACTATTATTATTAAGATAAGGCATTTTTCTGGGGGTTTTTTTCAACGTGGTCTTAGATGAAGGTAATCAGATATAGATGCACATTTGGCTTGTTTCATGCCATTGTGCCGCCAAATCTTGCTCCGAAATTGCTAATTAAAGGAAGTGTTTTGTATAAGTATATATAAGCATAAAAAGTTCAGGACACATACTCTGTACATGTACATATTCAAAGGGGAACATTCTGCCCTTTTTATGAATGAGGGTGTCACCATAGTGCCCTCTAGTTATTCTGGCAATAAACCAGGCATGAATGCGTCAGGATACAGACAGTACTGCATGTCAAGCGTTTTGGATGAAAAATCATGGCCTACGTATGTAAGGAAACATTTCAGTCAGGCTGAAATCAGTATCCATTGCTGTACCGGTGTTATTCTTTGCGGTACCACACTCCATACCCCAAACCTGGCTGATGAATGGAAAGCCGTCAGGCCGTAATAACTGAATATTTATGAGGTCAAACGTGGAACGCGGTACTCGTTACATGCCCAGTCAGCTTGTCAAAAATTGTAAGTTTGAATACGCTATGAAGTGTTGAATAGGCACAGGCCAGCAGACCGCACACTCCTCACGAATATTGTTGTGACGAAAATACCTGTGTGTACTGACCTGTACATAATGAACTTATTATCATAGCCAGCTGGGCTTAATGCTTGTACCGCAAGAAAAACACACTGGTACCGCAATGGATACCGCTTTTAGGCTGACTGAAACACTCCATAATCTGGTTGAAGTTTACATCATAAACTAGTTACAAAAACATTGGCGGAGAAGGTAGATTTAATTCACGAAACCTAACTGATCTCTCTTTTCTGTGTCCGCATTTTCCACTTTTCTGTATTTATTTTGTGGTCATAATGCTGGTACTTTCGCCAATAATGCATGGCCAATCCAGTTTTCATGGCCGTCCCTGCTTGCTGATACTGCTGGGTACCGTCCACCACGGACAGTGTTGGGTAGTTTCTTTTCATGACTGTTATACTTTCCCCATTTGTTTTCTTTTTGAGGGTCCACTTTTGATAGCTTTTGACTCACAAATGAAAATGGGACCGAAAATTTCTAATCACCATAAAAAAAAATTAAGATAAAAATATATTTAATTAATTTTTTTTAAGTTGATTTAACTTATTGATAAATAATTCATTGAATTGATTTATAACGTTAATCAATTTGAGTCTGTTTTCACTTTTGTCAGGGAAAACACTGACAAAATTGCCTCAGAATAAAGCTATACATGTATGCACATTTTTGTTTGTGACGTTCTGGTGCAAAAGGCTAAAGATTCATTCTCTTGCGGACTAGTAAAAAGGCCCATTGGCTAGATAAGAGTCTCGTTCACTAGTCCAGCTGGCTAGTGAAAAAAGGGCGAACACTGAATTGGACTAGTTTAATGACCAGCAATTCTTTTGAAATGTTCTCAACCAAGTTAGCCTTCTTAAAAGGCAACAACCAATTCAAATTACCCCACAGACATAGGGTCATATTCATAAAAACTAGCACTTGCTTTTACTACCTATTTTTAAGTATGTACTTGCATTTGTATGAATAAAAAGGAAGCAAATGCTATTACTGGAAAGCATTTGCTAAAAGCTAAAAGTATTTACTTTTTACTTGTAAAGGCCCTGTCATATTATACGCGCTCTCACAGGAGCCCTTACGGCGACCAAAAATATTTAACCTTCCTATGGAAACATGCATTGTCAGCTTTATTACTTGGGTCAATATTAATCAAGACTCCCTTTGGTTTGTACACAGTATTCCAGGAGGTGAGGAAGAAAATTTTGGACCAATTGTGACCTCTTAAATAGTAGGAGGGTTAATAAATTTAACAATTGCAGCAAGGACGTAAGAAAATGACAATTTTCTGTTTCACGTGGCAAGAAAGTAGCTCAAGCTATGCTCATACTGCGCTCATCCCATGCTTACGATGCGCTCAATTCACTCTCTATGCACACCTGTCAAGCCCAATTATTCAATCTTGTCACTGCTGATGCACTTTCACTGTGCTCACAGTACAATCTACTTGCTGTTGATACGTCCTAGTAGCTCGCGTCGCGCTCTCTGTACGACCAAAATAGGCTCAGGTGACGTCACTTGCGCTGTATAAATACCACAAAAACGGTCAACCTGCAGTCCAGTTTCAAATTTCTACAACACAGTCAAGTTACTTTCTCATGGAGACCACATCGACTGCCTTGCGCCTGGGCTGCATCAATGCCACGTCAATGTCGCATGATTCTCGCTCGCAGAGCGCCCGAGTTGCATCATCACGGTGCCCTGGCCAGAGCACAGAGGTGTTGCGTTTGTTTGAACATGTTCAAGAAATTTTGGCACTTATTGGGGACCATTAAGACACTCTGATGACGCCCTTCTTGTGGCCTATGTAGTTCTCGCTGCGATCAAGTAGTTGTTCTTGCGCCCCAGCCTTTTTCATGGACGTAGTGAGAGCGCATATATGATTGCAGACAGTCTGACAGGGCCTTAAGCTTTTGCTAGACTAGACTTGTTAGCCTTTGCTAGACTAGACTTTTTACTTTTCAAGGGGCAAACTTGAAAATATAGAGCAAATACTTTTGCGCAAAAACTGCTGCATTTATTAATAGTAATCGACCCAAAATTAACACAAAATGTTAATAAACTACATATATAATGCCATACACTGTATTTTGAATAACATTTATGCAAAATTTTAATATTCTTTTATTATTAATTTCATTACTAGAAGAAACGATAATTTCGCATTTTGTTCAGGACATGAGAAGTGTTAGGGTAAAATTCAGTGCGGCATAGAATGATTAAGGATAAATTTTATTCCGAGGCACCCTGGGGACTGAACTAAATGAAATCATTCTTTTTTAGTTTATAAGGTCACTAATCTTTGCAAACTATAATTTTTTTAATATTTCAATAAACATAAACCTGCCCCAACCCAAATTAAAAGAAACTACGTCAATATTGTTATTAGTATGCTAACATATACATGCGTCTGTGGCCACGGATGATTAAGCATTCCTTTTTATTCTGTCAAGGGTCAAAACCTGAACTGAGCCAAGTTCTGACTGGCGAAGATTGCTGGCTGGTTTGTTTAATGTGCAACAGTTGAAATGGACTAGACTTCGTGCAGAGCTTTGTGTGGAAAGAGGTGGTGGCCACTTTGAAGTGTTGGGCCATGATGAATTAACTACATGTACAACAATAAGAGTGGTTAAATCACTGAAAAATTGAATAACTTGCTTTAACAAAAAGAATGTCTTCTTTCTTCAAATTAAGCTGTTCCATATGCCCAGAATACCAGCTACCTTTTTGCACAAACTTCTGTGGCCACAGACACTCAATCAATGTATTTATTGGAAAGAGGAAACATTGGCATTTCACATGATATTTCACTTATTTCAAAATATTAATTACATTTTTTATACAATACATTTACATCTTGCTTTCTTTTTTATATACCCTAGCTGTAAATACTATTTAAGGGCCTGCATACAATAACCCAGCCTCTCCATTAACCACTGCATTTTGTGCTAGTGCACACTCTTTAGGCCTTTTACAAAAACGTGACACACAGACATCAGACAGACAGACAGACAGACAGGGTAGGGTAATTTAATATAGGATGACATTCTGATTTTATCGTGGCTGGTATGACTCACAAAATACAATAAAACTACATTTTGCTTTCTCAAACAATCTAATATGAGAATCACATGTGTTGTCATGTCTGGGTGCCAAAAGCTTAGTAATGGTTTAAGAAATTTAGTTTTTCTTTGAACTACCTTACTTCATATCATCGCAACTTCCTTTGGATAAAAAACCTACTTGCAAAGAGAATGCAAGAACACAGAATATGCATCCAAATATTGCTGCGCCAAACATTTTTGATTGACATGCTTTGGTCATGTATATTTGACAATCAAAGACACAACATAAACGTTGTATCAATAAAGATCATCCCATATTCACTGTTTACAAAATTGAAGTTATGTTTTGATTAAAACTTTTCTTAATGCATCCCTATATTCATGGATGACTGAGCACCATAACAAGCTAAAAATCTCCATTTGCCAAGTTAAGCTGATGTGCATCATAAGTTGTTTTAAGCATTCTGGCAGGAAATTGCCATCTTCCAAATATAAAATGTTATTAAAACAAGTCAGGTGTGTAACAAACACGAATGCCCTGCAACCGTGACTGTTCCCATGACAAAACACAACTCTTTTAACATCAACCTACATGTACTTGGGTCACATGGAACTTTCACGGACATCATTAGTGTTCCTGTAGGTTTTATATGAATTAATCCCTATGCATCTCAGAATAAGTACAAGATTTCTTTTGTTTTAGCCACTGTGACCTTGACCCTTGACTTTTTGGTCCCAAATGCAATAGGCTTCTTAGGAATACCAAGAACAATCCACAATCCAAATTTGAAGTTCACATGTAAAGTATTTCAAGTTATCGTGCCGACACCTTTGTTTTAGCCGCTGTGACCTTGACCCTTGACATTTCAGCCTCAAATGCAATAGGCTCCCTAAAATTACCAAGAACAATCCACAAACCAAATTTGAAGTTGACATGTAAAGTTATTCTCAAGTTATCGTGCTGACAAAATTTCTTTTGTTTTAGCCACTGTGACCGTGACCCTTGACCTTTCAGCCCCAAATGCAATAGGCTTCTTAGGATTTACCAAGAACAATCCACAAACCAAATTTAAAGTTCATATGTTAAGTATTTCTCAAGTTATTGCGCTGACAAGATTTGTACGGACACACACCCACCCACGCACACCCACCCACGCGTACATAGGCATAGAAGTGGGGTACTTCCTTTGTTCTCGTGTACT